CCATAAGCCGGGCCCAGTACTCAGCTGTTTGAATTTTCAACATATCAACATATGCGCTTTATCGAAAATAGTGCAAACCCTGGGAGGCATTAACTCAACGGCCGCTTCTGGGTACGGCATCCAGAGCAGCTAATACATGAGCCCTCCTGGACCTATCTGGGCTGATTTTTGACGGGGACAACATCCAGCGTGACAGGAGCCTTTGAGGCTAGAGTTGGATGATGTGCCTCGATTTGCAGCATGACATTCACATCCTGTAAACGCAGAAACCACATCTGTGACTCGGTAATCAAGGTTGAGATTGACTGCAGCATCATAATGCAAGAATCTTTTGACTGACTGGTTTTCTGAGCGCGTCAAGTCATGATGCTTCTACCGTTCCCATAAACTTTCTTGAACAATTAGTGACTAGTTTATGAGTCTTAATGCAATGGAAATAAGGTCCAAGGTTCAGTCTTGCTTGGAAACATAACGAGGCAGAGATCGGTAAATTTTTAGTAAGTTGGTAAAAGAAAGAAGGGAGGTCTACTCGCACTAACCTTTTTATACTGAGCACAACGAGCATTAAGATGTAAAAGAAAGAAGGGAGGTCTACTTGCACTAACCTTTTTATACTGAGCACAACGAGCATTAAGATCGTCCATTCCTTGAGTAGTACCTTCTCCTACGGTACCGGCCATAGGAACGACACCTTTGTCTACCTGAAACACTTATGTTATAAATATTATCGGTTAGCTGCTGTTATGAAGTAGATGGATCTCTTTTTCTTCGTCTTTTATTTATTGCGTTCCGTTCTCGATCTTTTCCTCTATAACTATAATATTATTCCTTCTCTACCCGATCGATTATGTGGTTCACTTCCCATTTTTCTTCACCAATGCATGGAACACATCTTTGGGATTGAACCGTGTGGGTCATGGGTCTACAATGGTCGAACTGCCACCTTTCAACTTCTCATTTTTGTGTCTGATCTGGGCTTAGACCTAGAATAGCAATGTAAAGAAAGTAGAATGATGGTCTAGGGGGTATTTTGAAGAACTCCGAGCTGGTCAAGTTGAGGGGACCATAGTGGTAAGGAACATATTCACTAAAGTTGCTCTCAACAACCGCTTAGCTGCCTCTCCCCTGTTTCAGCTGGTTCTACATCATGAATAAATCTAGTACTCTTTTTCCATGATCCAGAACTCAAGTCCTTGCTAGAAGTCTGGCTCTGTCATGTCCCTGAGAGCTTTAGGAACGATTTGTCTGTCTATATCACACAAAGAGCACCGACCTACTTCCAACTGTTTCACTAATTCGTAGTCTCCATGGAAGATCCTAAATCGGATTTAACGGATGAGACGGAAAGCAAATCCTCTTCGCAACCCAGCCGTCTACCCTTTAATTCCCTTTACATCAACGTTCTGGGTCTTGGTATTCCATGAGAACCGGTATTTTAGATCGCCTTTTGTATTTCCACAACACAAAATTCCAGCGCCGTCCTTTTTTTGGGAAGCTAAGCAACCCATATCTCCATTGTGCTCGCAGAGAGATTGAGTTTATTGATGATGTATGGAAACTCCGATGTACTCGTCCCTTTTAGATGGACCTAATGCCGTTGCACCACCCAAATTGTGAAACACTTCTGATAGTATTTCAAAAGTGAAAGCTGGGAGTAAACACCAGGGAGGAAGGGAATCAATTGGGTACGAGCACGAGGAGACAATGCGATGGCATGAATAGTTAAGCAAGGTGGATTTGCTCCTTGTTTGTTGCTGAAGAACTGTTCAGATAGAGCGCATACGGTATTAAAGTAAAGAAAGTCGAATGATGTGTAGATGTATTATTCCAAGAAAAGTAGAAAGTTTCATGAACTGCAGCATCACTGCGGTCGATTTGTTAGGCCGAATTGTTGTACTTTCTGTCCCTCAACCGGACTGAAAATGGTCAAGCATTGTGCAACTCTTGTCTTTTATACTTTCGTCGTCGAGAAACAGGGTGGAAGTGATCCGGTATCAAACGTAGAATTAACAGATTCAGTCCCGGATCGAATTTCGGATTGATACCATCCCATCTTAACCAAGCTTCGCATCCCTCTGCATTGAGGTGGTCAGGCGATGTGCCAAAAGGCTTTCCATAGTCCGTCGGATGGGGTACGGCGCTTGGCATTTGTTTATAACTGGATCTTGGTCGATACCGCAGGCCAAGCAGTCCCTCGGACGACGCGCGCTCGCTCGCGGGCCGGCCGGCGAACTATGAAAGCAGC